AAAAATGCGCTCAAACCCCAGAATTCGAGTGTATTTCCTTCTTTCGTCAACCGCCGTAAAACGCTGAAGAACTCGGACATTCAACCACGAAGAAGTTTTTCAGATGGCAGCCATCCTGTATAATGTCCGGCAGCAGCGTCAGAGGAACATCAGATACAACCGGCTCCATCCGTCCTCAGTGTTTGAGCAGAACGATCGGATCTTCTATTCGAAATACAGGTTTCGTTTAGAGGACGTCAAGAAGATCGTAAGGATGCTCGCACCGCTGCTGCCGGACAGCGGATTGGAGCCGTGGAAAATTAGTAAGGAGGACCAGGTATGAACAATGTCCTACAAAAACAGCGAAGTGATTCTACGTTAAATCCAGGTCCTCATGACACTGCGCTATCTGGCCACCAACAGTCATCAAACAGTTATAGGTGACTGTTTTGGGGTGTGCCAGAAGGCAGTGAGCGACGTCATCACCAGGGTAGTGGATGCGCTCAACCATCCTACATTAGAAGCCCGCTTCCTGCGCTTCTGGCCATCGGATGAGGCCTGGTGCCTGCGAAGATCTCGAGAATTTGCCAGAATCTCGAGATTCACGAGTAAGTTACCTATTCTCGTCAATAGACTATCATAACATTTGTTGTTTAGATGTCATTGGATGTGTCGATGGTTGCCTCATCCGAATCCAGCGGCCCGTCGACTTTGGCAACCACTACTACTGCCGAAAGGCATGTTGCGCAATCAATATGATTGCGGTAGTGGATGCCAGAGCCCGCTTCATGTACATCAACTGCGGGTTCGCGGGGAGGCACCACGACTCGTTCATATGGCAGCATTCGCAGGCTGCCGCCGAGTTCGAGGAAGCCCGCGCTCGCCCAGGATATCGACTCCTGGGAGACGCGGGCTTTGCCAACTCCAGGAGCGTCATGGCCCCCTACCGGGAGCGGGCCACAGAGAATGACGCCAGGAAGAGACGATTCAACCGGGAGCACGCCAAAGCTCGACGAGTCGTCGAGCAGGCATTCGGAGCGCTGAAGCGGCGATTCACCATCCTTTATAACATCACCCGCATTCAGCCTCCGAAGCTCCAGAAGG